AAAATAAAAAGGTACCAGAAATGACAGATCATTAGAATAGATCCAATTTCAGGGCCTTCTCATTCTTTAGAGGAATCCCTCCCTAACTGTCCATGTCTTCAGGGATATGGCCATACACACCATGCTCGGCCACTTGCAGGCTGATGAGTCTATTTAACCCATAATTGGAGATTTTTAATTCAGAGTTCTCCTTCTCATAAACCAGTTGCCACTCAATTCTATAGCACTCAGTCTGTCCTGCTATTTACTCATATCTGTAGGGAGAGGAGATGGATTCATACCTTTCCTAAGGTTATTTGCATGTTAGCCAATGTAACAAACTCAGAACTCCAATTCCTCAGTCCAAGCCACTATCCATTACTCCACTGTGCCTTATTGAAGAAAAGTAATATATTTAAAATACATTGTCAGCATTTGGCAGTGTTCATTTTATATAAGGCTCAAGTAAAAAAGCTCTGCCCCCAAACATTTTCCTGAGGGTAACTGTTAAAAAAAGTGTTACCCAGGATGAGTGCTGTCTTTCATTATGTTTTCTGCTCTGCTGTGACAAGATTGCAATCTTACGACTGGAAATCTCCCTGTCTTCCACAGAAGGTAGCAAAGGAAAGCAAGAAGAAAGGACTAAATATAAACTACAAGAAGACAGAATGCATGTTTGTTAGCAAAAGGATGAATCCAAAATGTAAATTATAAGTCAGGGATACTAAAGTAAAACAAGTACAAAAATTTATATATCCGTGAATATTTCTAACAGAAGATGGAAAGTGTGATACTGAGATCTGATGATGCATTGGGATGGCAAAATTTGCATTCCAAAAGCTAAGCCGACTATTAAGAGACAGAAAAACTTTGGTAGAACAAAGACAAGAGTACTGAAATGTGATGTGATATATGTCTTCCTGTATATCAGTGAATGCTGGACAATTTTCTCATAGATGAAGAAGAAACTTGAAGCAACATTAATTTGGTTCTACAGGAAGAAGTTGAGGATACCATGGACCGAATATGGGGGCAATGACAAAATTTTAGAGAAAATGGATAGAAGAAAGAAATCTCTACTTAAAATCAGGAAGAAACAGTTGAAATTTCTGGGGTATGTAGTGAGGGCTTGGAAAATCTGTTACTCACAGGACAGATTGAGGGAAAGAGTGACAAAGGAAAAAGGTGTTTAACATACTTGCTGGGCTTCAGTAAATGGAGAGTAGAACATAGTTTGGGAGAAACAGCAAAAAGACAAAATTTAATAACAGCTACAAGGGGCAGAAAGATGTGGAGAGCCATGATCACCTATATCTTGAATGGACATGGTGGCACATAAAGAAAAAGTTAATGGCATTTTAAGCAGATATGTCTCATAAATACATAAATGGAATCTATAAATAATTATGCCTAAAAGTACATACGTGCAGCCATGATAACGAGGGAATATTTTCATCTTTAGCCACAGCATTGATTGGTAGAAATCAATTAGTATTTTAGCTGAAGTAATTGCCAGAGTCAAAGTTCATTGTCAGTTACATATAACATAGACAATCAATTAGATGCTCATAAGATCACTGTCATTGCAAATTTTAATATTCTATTATTACTTCCTAATCTTTATTTCAATCAGATAAGTATATCATATTTCAGTTATTCAAACTAAATTAAAGTTAAGTTTCCCAAAGGTAAGACAGGGCTTCCTATCCTTTTACTGGCAACCAGTCTAAGAGAAGGAAATCTCTGAATTTTAAACAGTGGAGAAGGCAATGGGAAACCATTTCCCAAGAATGCATGACAATTTACAGATAATAAAGAAAGTAATCTGTGGAGAGTCATGATCACTTATGTATAAATTTTCATTTCATCTTCTTCCTAAGAGCCACTTGTCTTATGAAACAGACTCCTGTGTGGATGTTTACTTAATCACTACAATTTTAACCTGTTCAATTCTCAGGTCAACTTTCCTATCAATCTTCATAATGTGAACTTCTCTTATGTCCATAAAACTTCTTTCTTGATTGGCACTTTGGCTTTTTATTAGGTTGGAAAAGTATTAAAAAATGTCCTGAAGGGATTAAAAAAATGTAGAAAATGCTACAGGTAATAAAGAACTAGAGTGTGTTAATTTATTTTGGAAACAAAAAGGACACTTATACTTAGCATTAGAAAGAGATATTTGAGGAAACAGGGTTTAGGAAATTTGACACTGACAGGACATACTGAAAGCAAGAGGGACAGAGTAAAGCAATGCTTTACCTACCTAACAAGATTGTGTAAATGCTTGACAGAACAAGATTTAGGAGCGATACAAAAAAAACAAACTTTATGAAGAGCTACAAAGTACAAGAAATTGTGAAAAGCCATGATCGCCCACATCCTGAAGGGACAAGACACATAGGAGAAGAATGAATTATATGATTATTATTATGATTATTTACCAATTGACTGATGAAGTAACTTCTATAAATGTTCAATTAGTAGCTTTCTTATACACACTCTGAAAACTCAGATGTTTTTGAAGTGTATATTTGCATTAGTGTGGAATCTATCAGGTTAACTAACACACTTGATGCAAAGGTTTTTTAATGCTTTTGCTGTGATATTTGGAAAGTTGTAGGTGTCCAATAAAAAAAAAAGACGAATAGGAAAAGAAATTGGATATAACAGAAAAATGAATGTTTTTAGCATATTTTGACTGAGAAAAAAATTATATCCATAGATACATTAATGAACTCATTCTAGAAAAAATATTATTTTTCAAAATATATCAAATGTTTCATATTCTGAATCCTTAAAAATTTCAATATAAAAAGTCAAATAACAATATACATTAATGCTTAAGATCGAAAATTAAATTTCAAATTTTTACAGAGATAAGACAAACCTTATCTGAAGATGGTTGTGGCTTTCATGTATAAGAATAGTAGATTTAAATGCTTTTGTCAATGTAGGTAAGTATCCTTGTGACCAACAATTCAGCACCACTCAAAATATCCAAATTCAGAAAGGAAAATTGTTAAATCGTCTTGGAGAACCTTTTTTGTTTTTCATTAGCATGGCTGATGCTAACCTCCAGGTGTGTAACCCATTGCCCCTTCTCAAACTAATGTTTTCCATTGATATGAAGTGGAAAGATTATATTGAATCAGTTGCAAGGTTTGTGGCTAGGAAAGTTGGTTCACAAACATTTTCATTGTAATTGTTCTGTTAAGCTATATTCTTTGGTACCTAGACTTTATAAATTTAAGTGCAGTACTAGATTGGCAGTAAGGTCTCATATCCAGTTGAAATGGCTAGATGTAATTGTAAGATCTATGCTAACAGCGTATTTTATCACACTTCTCACTTGTAGAACTCTCCTCCTGTTTCTTGCTTTCCATTCAACAGTGATCTTCAAAAATTTAAATGCAAGGTCAATCGTTATCTCTGTCTTCTTATTTCCTGTTCTTTTATTGTTCTCGCTTCTTAATAATGTTTGCTTTTTCTCATATTCAGTAACACTCAGTAACTCCTTGCATCTTAGTGGCTTTATAGCCTTGCTTGGAATAAAATGATTAAAAAAGTTGAAATCAACCAGCCATTTTAATATAAATGCCCCAATATTTCTGTCATCTCTTCTACTGCATAAAAATAAAATACACGTCTAACATTGCATTTAGAGTAGTGTGGCCTTTTATATGAAATATTTGTTAATGACATAACTTTTTGTAATGTTTCTATTTAAGTTTTAGTACTTTAAGTTTTATATGATGTCTCAGAATCTAAATCTTAAAGTACTGAGACACATAAAAAAGGAAAAAAAGGCTTGGATAATCTTTACCCTCACAAGACATACTGAAGGCAAGAAAAGCATAGAGAAACAACAAGTAGCACACCTAAGAATTTTGTTTGAATGGATGACACAAAGGGAGTGGAAGGGATAGAAAAAGACAAACAGATAAGAGATAGAAAGAAGATTAAGTTCTAGAGAGCCATGATCACCCACGTCCTGAAGAGATATGATATATAAAATAATAATAATACTTTCTTATTGACATGCCAGTTCCTGCAGATTGTAATGTATCTTTGAAGATCTTCAAAAAACTATCAAAATATAAGGATCTTGAAGTAGGAATCTTAAAAATGTGGCACATGAGAACATAAATAATGACAATTGTAACTGGATCCCTTGGATTGATTGGAAAAGATTTCAGTAGACTCACTGAAGCAATTCCTGGTAGTCCATGCCTTAAAAGTACAAAAAACTGTACTCACAAGTATAGCTCACACATGAAGAGTTTTATCTATGTAAAATGTGTGTGATCTTAGGTTTTTATTTTTTTTATTTTTACAAAAACTGATCAGTGGAAGATGTCCTGAATCCATTACTGACCTTAGGTCTCTGGTTGGAACCCGGAAGGAAATGTGTATATAACAAAACTCAAGGAAATAATAATAATAATAATAATAATAATAATAGTATAAAAAGTGATGGGCTTTTTATTTTTTGCAATTAAACCAAACATTCAGTGATCAAGAATTGTTAATGTATATATTGAGTTAATTGCTTAGGGAAGATACTAGAATATGGAGAGGGAGGAATAGTATAAACACAAATATTGCTAAGAACTACAAATGATTGGAAGCTGTGGAGAGCCATGATCACTCATGTTCTGAAATGACACAGTTAATAAAAGAAGAATAAAAATTTCAAAATGATAAAATCATTAATGAATGAATATAGAATGATGCTGTTATTAAGTGCAGAGAACGTTTACGACATGCATATGATCTTACTTTCTCTACTTTCATGATAGCTAAAGATAAAGTTGAGAAATTGGTGACTTTATTGTTTTATTTAAACCCAAGATTCTTCGACTTAAAATATTTAAAAGTGTTAAACATTCCTAGAATTTTTTTCAGATTTGAATTGCT